AAATATTACAAATCTCTATGCTGAATTCTCTCTTCATCATCCAACAATTTGCAGCTAGTTAGATGATTATAAATGATGTCCTTCCATATTATAAGACCATATTTCTGCAAGTAAATTGGCTTTTCAGTAGTTTATTAAATAGAATTTTGTAGATAAGCAGCTTTTGTTTGAATTTTTCGCACAGTTTTGGGCTGCAGGGCATCTGGTGTATAGGTTCTTCCACTTGTCTATAGTTTGTCTATTGCGTCTCGTGTTTATTTTTGTTCTTGTATCTTATATCCATTGTTATGTAACTCTTTTGTTTGGCCACAGTTGACTTGAGCCATTTGTTTGGCTGGCAGCAGCTTTTGTAAAAAATATCTTTATCATCTGACAAGTGCAGACAGGGACAGTGTCCTGGCCAGAGATGGGGCTACAGCTTCCCCATATCCTATGCCCGTTTCGGGGCCTGCCCACAAATTATAATTACAAATGATATATTTTGGCGTTTTTATTATAAGACTGTGCATAAAATAAATGATCTAAATGCCTATAAGAGCTCACTTCTATGACAAACGTGCAAAACTTTGCCCCGCTTGCCTGCTCTTCAACTTTTTTTTTTCTTTCACTCGTATACCCTAGAAACGTTGGAGAGGTTTGAATTATTCATTAATTTAGAGTATCTATTGGAAAGTTTATAGAAAAACGCTTAAAAACTTTTAATATAATCTATATTATAATATATTTATGGAGGAAATTATTCCATACGTTCAAGCCTTAGTTTGGAGACAAAATTAAATCATTTTTAGCAGAAGATAAGAACATTAATTATTTGCATGCATTTTGTTCTAATGCTATCACCAAGTCTATCGCCTTGGAGATAGATTGTTTATAGCAATAGTATATTTTTTGCCTCAATAAATTTGTGCATATTTCGGAAAGTTAAAAAGGCGCTAATAGTATTTTATATTTGCACATCGCCCATTTATTATCCAATTATGTGTTAAATTAGGGCATTGCCAGTTCGTTGCTTTAATTTTTATGCGTAAATTCTTCTCCTTTTCTTATTTCTATAAATATTTGATATGGCGAACTGGGGCTATCAATGGACTGCTGTGAGGGCGGGCAGGGCAGGGATGGCACTGGTATACTGAGAGGGGTGCGGGTCGAGGTCGCATTGTTGTGCGTAGAAATATCTAAGCTATGCGGCGTACCGAACCGGGCATAATCAAAATACAATTGTGCGAGGATGTGCGTGCGTGTGTGCGCTTGTCTATGAGTGTGTGTAAGTTTGTGTGCGTGCGTGTGTGTGTGTTTGTGTTTGTAAGTGTTGTAACGCGGGCACAAATTTATTTATTTATTTTTTTTGCGCTGCTGCTGTTTGTTTGGCAGCAGACCTCTACCTGAGCCAGGCAGACGCTCTTTGCTCTCAGTTGCGCTTGAAAGTTTGCTATAAACTGGAAGGCAGAGCGCAAAACTCAGCCAGAGAGAAAAAAGAAGAGAGCGAGCGAGCGAGCGAGCCAAACTAGAGTATGAGCAAGCTAATATTAAAGCATGAAAACGCACGAATAATAAATTAATTAATTATAAATTGAAACAAGAAGAAAACGAAACAGCCTAGCGCGGCACATAAAATGTCTGTGTGTGTGTGTGTGTGTGAGCGAGAGAGAGAGTGAGAGCGAGGGAGAGTGCGCGCGTGTCGGCAATGTGACTAGTTTGCAGAAATCAAGCTCAGCTCCTGTGCAAGCTCACGACTGGAAGCAGTCGAGCGGAGCTCGTGTGCGCGTCGGTTCGTTCGTTCCGTTGTCCCGTTCGGCTTTTGTCGCTGTGGCCCCAGACTCGTGCCTGGTCGCTGGCAAAGGACACAAAACGTTTTCGTGCGCTGCGCTGACAACATCCTCGCAGGACCAATAAGCGGACGGTGCGTTCAAGGAAAAACTATATAGATATGTGTGTGTGCAGAAACTTTTAATCGTGTGTGAACAGTTGAAAAATGATTGCACTTTAATAATACTAGAAAAGAGTTGCCTGAAAAAAAAAAAAAAAAACAAATAAAAGCTAACAAAAACGTAGCAAAAATCACAACGATATTGAAATTAGTGCCATAAAATTAAAGCCGAGCCAAATTTTATATAATCAAGCAATAAAAAATGACAGGCGAGCGCTCGCTTGTGTTTGTGCTCGTGTGCCTTTGTGTGCGTGCCTGTGTGTGAGTGTGTGTGTGTGTTTGTGTGAGTGCAGAAATGTTAATACCATTGTATCAAATGTGTTTGGGTGTGTTTGTGTGTTTGTGTGTCTGCGTGTGAGTACGTGTGCGTGTCTTCTCGTGCCTTCAGGCTTTTTATAAAGAGGTCAAAACGTTGCTTTCGTTTTTCTACGGCTTTTTGCAGTGTGCAAAGGTTTTTTGTTGTCGCTGCCTAAAGACAGCAAATTTAACAGACAGCCGAGAAAGAAAAAAAATAGGCAGCCCCCTTTTGCGGCACCGCCCCGGTTAAAGTGCCGATGTGTGTACAAGCAAATGATATAATAGTTGTAAGAACTTGAGCACAGCTCAAAGAAGCGCAGCTTTAACCGTAAATTGCAGCGGTTGAATGCGAGGGAGAGAGAAAGCTACTAATTGCACATTTTTATAGCATACTTTTAGCTGTCGCAATTAATGCCGAGCACAGTTATTCAAAAACACAAGTTTTGCTGTGGCAAATGTGTGAGGCAGTAAGCGCTCCATAACGGTATCGAAAGCTTAGCTGAAACTGTTTGAATTTAAAATGATAGTGTTGCAAAAAATTATCATGTAAAATGCAAGTGTGAATTTTGGCAGGTGTGTTGTACAACTCAGGTTTATACAAGATTTCTAGACTTAGGCTAATAGAAAATAAATTGATGGAAAAAATAACAATCAAATCGCCTTTAAAGCCAAGTTACCATAAATTGAACATTTCGAGGCTCTTAATATTTTAAATATTATAAAAAGAATTAATTATATTTAAAGGCAACAAATCACAATAAAGCATTTATAAAAACTTTAAGAAAAAGTTGGGAAAAAAATATGAGAGATAAAGACAGAAAAGACAATATTTTTTAAAATTGTATCGAATAACAATCCTTAAAAATAACATCAAAAAGATATGTATTCAGATTAATGTTTATTTAAAAACTCTTGCATTAAACATGCATATAGATCTGCCAGTTAATGCTTATTTTCAGATCGGATATGATATATATTATTTATATTTTTTCATTAAATTTATTATAAGCTTTCAAAACAAAAAACTTTTAAAAAATGGTATTTATCTTAGCATTCTATATATATAACAATTCCATTCAAATTTAAAATTTTACAAAAAATTGCACAATGCGCTGAATTCTCTGCTATACTTGGTTAGTTCTGAATAAAAGTGAAAGAGCTGCAAAATTTCGCGAACCAAACGACAAACTCATAAAAAACCTGTACAAAGCTTTATACTCCAAGAAGTATTTAAACTCCTTCTAGTAAAGATTGTTGATAAATTGGTGTAAGTTTAAAATGGCTTTTAGAATTTTAATCAATTTAATGTTCAACTATGTTAAGGCTAAAATAGATCTGGCGCACAAAAAAAAAAAAAAAAAAAAAACAACTACAAGAAAACAAAATGTTACGCAATTTGCAGCTAAACAAAATTTTACGCAGCTCTAGAGAATCAAATGCCATAATTAATAATAATGCCCTTACAGTCGAAATTCCTGGCTAAGCTTTGGCCTAGGGCTAAAAATACTACAAGCAAAAAAAGAAAACAGTAAAAAACACAAGCTAGCTGTGAAAAGTGCGAGACTCAAAAGCACACAAACACACAGACATATAGAGCTAGGGGCTGCGGATGGCGTGGGTGGGGAGTAGGACATTAGCGGCAGCTACTCAAAGCATAACAATGAACGTAACCGCACATAGAGCCCAGAGACAGCCACAAGCAGCTACATAAAAAATGAAGCAATGAGCGAAAGAGAGTGAGAAAGAGGGGGTGTTTGCTTGTGCGTGTGAGTGTTACCTACTAAGCTAAATGAAAGTAAAAATTGTAAGCGTAAGCTAAAACAACAAACACAGTAGCAGCAGCAGCAGTAGTAGAAGCACAGAAGAAAACGAAAGCAATAACAGAAACGTGAGCAGCGATAAGAACGCTGAGATAAGCAGCAGAGCGCGTGTAAGCAGGCAAATATAACAGAGAGGGAGAGAGAGAGAAAAAGATAGTGAGAGTGAGAGCCAGAGAGCGTGCATGCATGTGCTGCACTTGCAGAGAGAGTGTGTGCGTGAGTGTGAAGCCTACAGGAAAGAGCATGAGCATTTTACAGCTCAAAGCTATCGTGCAAAAAACAGTTTGACTAACTTTAACTGTTTATATCGTCTGCTCTCTTTACAGATTTAACAGCTTGTGCAAGTTCAATGTAAATGCGAAAATGTAAACAAAAGCAACGCACGCGCAGCAGCAACAGCAACAACAGCAACGAGAACAACAACAACACCAATACAAGCTATAATATACACTCTGCCATAAACTGGATCTGACTGCCTTCCAGCTGGGGACCGTTGTCGTATCCCTTCCAGTGGGCCTGCAGCACACGGCTAGCGTCGCTGGCAGCGCCACAACAACGTCAGTAGTGCTGTCCTGCTAGTCGTGCTGTGTCCTGACGCGCGCGCTACACTGGCAAAACTCAGGGAAATTTTTCCACAAGCACACACATATACACACACACACGCACACATACGCACACAACACAGCGTTGCTTTACCTTTGCCAAAAATAAAGAAAACACATACCTTCACATGGCCTGGCCAAGAGCCGTCATCAAATACGAGCGCGAACTCAACGTAGTGGAAATGCTGCGGCCAGCGTCAACGTCAGCAGCAGCCGCAGCAGCAGCAACAACATTTGGTTGCTCGTCTAGTGTGTTGCTGTGTTAATTGTTATTTATGTATAGTAGTGTATATAAATTTGTGTGATATTGCAACAACAATGAGCAAAAGTTGTGCAAATGCAAAAGCATAGCAGCAATTAAGCCAGAGCGAGAGAGAGAGAGAGAAGGAGAGAGCGAGCGTGCTAGCGATAGCGAGCCAACTGTTTTTAGACGGCGCTGCAAAGTCAAAAAAGAAAGAAAGAAAGTTTCAGCAAACCCAAACAACGACAACAAACGGTTTTGCAACAAGAACAACAACAACAACAACAAGCAACCACAGCAACAACAGTAACAACTTTTATCGGGTCCAATGTTGCAGCAAACAACATGCAGCAAACAACAATGGCAACAGCAACGAGAACAAAAACAACAACAGCAGCAGCAGCAGCAACAACAACAGCAGCAGCAACAACAACAACAACAAACAGCTAAAGCTCAAAGCTGTAAGAACATGCGCCTTGGCAACATGCGCCTTAGCAACATGTTGCTAGCCAGCAACAGCACAACAACAACGATAGATTTTAATAGTCGACGGCGACGCGGTCGTCTACGAAGCGCGCACAAATGTTGCCAACAAGTGCCAGCAACAAACGCAAATGTTGCTTATACACAACAACAACAACAACAAACGAAACCAAAACAAACCAAACACCATGCAAAGCTTTTGTTATCAATAATGTGCGCGTGCATTGTCGATTGTGTAAATATTTTAAAACGCTTAGTATTATTAACATTAACAACTAACAAAACAAACAACAACAACAACAACAACCACAACAGGCACGCCCATAGGCGTGTTCAGCCGCTTTACTGCTTACCGCTGCTTTTGCTGCTGCTGCTCTGCAGCGCCCAGGCTCACAAGCCCAAAAGCGCCACTCAGCACAAGCAGCAACAACAACAACAACAACCGGCACACAACAACGATGTCACGTTTAACAACATGGCCGACGTGCCGCCCACTTATCAAGTGAAATCATCGCAAACATCGAACGAGGACGAAGCTGAAATCCTTTATCAGTCCTCTGAAATGTTCGGCGAGGAGGAGCTGGACCAGGAGGAGGGGCGTGATCTAAACGGCCGGCAGGATAATATGCCCAATCAACGCAGTTCCAATGGTAAGTGCACACATCTTATATCCCAAATCCCAGCCAAGCCACATTTCCAATCTCTGAGAGACTCAGTCGAAATTCTGCAGACCTTGACCCTTTTGCTCTTTGAATTCGCCAATAATGTAACTTTGAAAGTCGGCAGGACTATCTTGATGACCTGTCCTGATAACTGTCTTGCAGGACACTCGAAATGCAAGGTCTAAAATTTTTTCTTTGAGCGCGCTTTTAATTCGAAAAAGATTTCCTTGGAATCTAATCTGGAAGCTAACTTTTTTTGATATATTACCAGCGGGTATTGCCCGGCTTTGCCAAGTTTTTTACTTAAAATGTTAGACAAAACTCTTTGAAAAAAATGTTAATCAGTCAGGCAGGACAAACAGTTATATAAATATAAGAACACATTACGAAACTTTTGGCATGTTCTTGAGATTGTCAACGGGCGAAACACCTTCGATGAAATGTCCTTGGGTCGTCTTGTAAGCACATGAAATGGCATTGAAAACGTCAGCGATAGGCATGTCATCAAGAGCCAGATTTTCATCTGGCTTAGTACTCCCTCAGAGTACACACACCCACATACACACACATGCACGCACATACGCACACACTTGCGCAAAACAAACACGGCTAATGCGTGATTTGGCCTTTTGCCTGCGACTATGACTAATGGAATTTGTATTTAAATGAGGCAAAGGCGGCAGGAGGAAAGCAGCTGCATAAGTGATTTATGCGGCAGGCAATGAACAATTCAATCAAGAAAGGGTGGGAGGGGGGTAGGTGGGGTTTCATAAAGATTTCTCTCGTAGCATCAAATTGAATTAGACTTGCATAGCTCTTCGTGAGCTGATAAAAAAAATATATGCGAATATGCGTATGTGCGATATTATATGATAATATTAAATGAAACAGAGCAAGAGACTTGCAATTTATAGAAAAGCAACATTTAAATTTGACATGCGTAAATTAATTATAAAATAATTGTTCGGAGTGGGTCTATTTCACAATATTTAAAATTTCTTAGCTTTCCATTTAAAAAGCTGATACAAAAATAAACCATTTATATTATTTTTGATGCGGATTGCTGTCTTATATATGTTTTTGCAAAAGATTTTCGAGCTCGAAACTGCTGGAATATTAAGTATACAGTATTTAACAATCTGTATAACTTCCGCTACTGTTTATTATAGAATATATCAATATCAATATCAGGACTTTGTCAGACATTTTTGGGGGAATATAGTTAAAATATATATTATATTATTATATTCTAGCTTTTCTATAGACTTATAGATATATAAATATATATATATCTTTTATTTTGTTGTAACATCTTCTCTGAAAGTTTACTATTGAACATTTATTAAAATTTTTGCTGTAATTCTAAGTTTTAGTAAGTTTGTTGAGCTTTTCTTCTTAAAGTTAATTCGTTCGTTCATACATTTATTAAACTTATCTGTCATATATTTCTGTCACATTTATATTTTAATCAATTTATTTGGTTTATTTCTTCAAACCCTTACGCATATTATTTCTTCTTAATTTGTATTTTGATAATTGAACCCTGCGTATACGTCATATTTATACTACTTCATTTAATTAAGTTGATTTTAAATGTAAATTAATTTTTTTTTAACTTTCTTCTAAAAACATGCCTAAAATATTTCCTTTTAAGTTGTACTTCGTTAGTTCACACAACAACACAACATTTGTTAAAATTGTGCCTTTGTTGAGCTCTGCGAATACGTTATATTTATATGTTACTTAATTTCATTTGGTTCTCTTTCCTAATAAATACAAAAATGATTTATTATTAAAATTTATATTGTTTGTTCCTAAGAGAATATCATAAAATATTTATTGAAATTGTTTCTAAGTTGAACGTGGCGTATACGTTATATGCAATATGCCCGCAATCCCATAAACTCGCGCATAAATTACGTATACGCAACGTTTGCAAACATAAATAATTGAAGGGACCAGAACAGCTGCTAACACACACAAAAACATCACACACACACAAATTACACACACGCACACACACTCTCGCATTTCGTAAAAATGAATTCTGAGCTACTCTTCAGCCTGAGCTCAACTGCATTTGTGCATTTTCCGGGCTTGGGGCAAAGTCAAGTTGGGAAAACCTCGTGTTCACCTTTTATTTGGCCAACTGCTGCTTACGTTGCGGGCCACACAGAACTTTTTATTTTTTATTTTTGGGCCAACAACAACAATTAAACACGACGTGGCACAATGTTTGCCTAGGCGAGCGCACCCTGGAGCCATTTCTCATTTTAATGACTCAACTGTGCTGTCTCCCAGGCAGCTCACCACTCGCTCTCTCTCTCTCTCTATCTCTCTATCTCTCTCCCTCTCCCTCCTTCTCTTTATTTATTTCTTTGCGCCCGTCTGTTTTACTTTCTATCTGTCTGCTGCACACACACATGCGGCAAAGTGGCCGACAACAAAAGAATGGGCCAAAACAAGCGGCAGGCGAGTTATATTTTGTGGAGCTTATTCGAGTTTAGAGATACTCTTTAGAGGGTGGCAATAAGCTGAATGGAGAAAATGGAAATGAAGTGGAGAAAACCTCTGTCTGTTATACTTGTGAAATGTTGAATAGGTTCGCTAAGTCGTGCGAAATACTATCATAATTTATCATATATATAGGTAACAACTTTTTTGTTGTTTAATACACCCAAACTGCGCTTTACTTTTCATTGATCCACTTCTGATAACCATATTATACAGCTGCCATGAGAACAATCGGAATAAAAATTTTTCTATTAAAACAATTAAGTGCCATCAAAAACACATTTGTTATATACGTCCACAATAATAGTAAATCTTAAATACCCTGTGATAAATGCTGCTCCCTTTGCTGGTATTTATATATTGAGGCTTATGTATTTCTATTGAATGACCACAAATTGCAGAAGCTCTTTAAATGTACATCCTACGCCTATTAGATATATATTTATATATATAAATGTGCCTAAATGCCTCGTTATGCTCCCATGTGACCTCATGCAGGGACAGTGTAACGGAAACACACACACACACACACGAAACTAAAACGAAAATATTTTGTTGTGTGCTTTGGGGCGCAAATTGCAGTTGAGCTGCAACCGCAAAACGACAGAAGCTACAACAATCAGAAATAAAGCAGAGCAGCAAATATAACAACAGCAACAACAACATCAAGGACTAGATGTAGTCTGTAAATCAAGCTTTAAAATTAACGCAGATTGCCGGAACAAGCGACGCTACGAGCAATTAACATGAAACCAAAGCAGTTCCAGAAAGTGTCCAAAAAGAGCAGACAAAGCGCGCGAACACACACAGAAAGAGAGGGAGAGATAGAGAGGGAAGGAGAGAGGTAGAGAGAGAGAGAGAAAATATAGGTGCATGTGTGCACACAGCGCTGGCCATAAAATTAAGTGCAATTGCCACGGTTGAAGAAGTCTTTAAATGCGAATTCAACTAGAAATAATACTAATAATAGAACATAAATAACAAAGAATGGTTATCTTGTATCAAAAACCTATAGATTTCAGGTATCACTTTATGCTATTATTATGCTTAGCAAATTCGCCTTAAATCCGATTTTAAGGGAAAATATACATGTGTGTTCCCAATTAGACGTCCCGGGCTGTATATGGCATAATATGTATGTGTATACGTATGTATATAGCAATAAATGTGCATTGGTCTACTCGCAACGACCTTTGTTGGAAATGTTCGTGTCACTCTGAGTGTGTGTGTGTGTGTGTGTTTTTGGTTTCGCCTTGCTTTTGGCTTTTCTATTTTACCATCGACCCAAATTGCGCGCGCTGCTATAATAAAAACAACAACAACACATACACACACACACACCCACACACACACAGTAGCTTATAGTATACTTGTGTTTGTGTGTGTGTGTGTTACGTACTCGCACGCTAACGTGACTGTTAACGACGTTTGTCGTGGGTGGCGAAAAGCGAAGCAGAAGAAGTGGCCGCAATCTCAAACCCCCAAAAAGCGCTGCAAAAGACCTCGACCCAAACGGCAGGCGGTCAAAATATGTAAAAAAAAATAAAAATAAAAAAAGCACACAAAAAATATTAAGCATAAGTATTTAAAAGGTAAAAAAAAAGAAAACAAAATAAGAGCGAAAATAATGATTGAGCTGCTAATGTGAAAATGTAGGAAAAGCGCAAGGAAAAGCTAACCAAACAGACGGCAACAAAATTTAAATCGATAAATCAAAATGTCAGCAACAACAACAACAATGGCAAAAGGCTCGCAAGGACGTGCGACTTGCACGCCACAAACAGCTATATACGGCTGGTGTACTGTGTGTGTGTGTGTATATATAGCGTTTGTGTGCGTGTGTGTGTGTGTGTGTGTGCATGCTTTGTGGGCGGCAGGAAGTTGCTTTGCGGCGCTGAGGACAAATGACAACATTTGGCCGACTTTTAATTATTGACATTCCCACTTTTTTTCCCCTTGCTTTGAGGCCACTAATTGCCAGTGTGACCGTGCCAGTGCTTAGCCAGAGTAGTCAGCTATGTCTGCAGTATATGAACAATTTCAGGGCCACACATAAGATGCGCGTACGTCTTTAATGTGACGAAAATCCAAAAGAAATCTCTAATATTCCTTGTCATGTGCTGATTTTAGATGGCTTATAGCTGTTAGCACTATTTTCGTGTAAAATGTAAACGCTGTCGAAAGTAGGTTACGATGGGATTATACGTTACGTGACGGAAAATATAGGTGATTTTCGTCTACATATAAAAAAAAAGGCAAAAGCTTGCGAAAACTGCATGCAATTTAGTTGCATGTACCTGATATAATGATACTTTTAATTAACAACTAGCTACAGCCCAGTCCGAAATATATCCTTAGCAATTTAGACAGAAGAAGACAGAATGTTTATTATAATTTTGACAATTTGACATTTATATGTATGGGCATGTTAAATTAGCCATTAACTTTAACATGCTCTATGTACCTAAAAAATT